CAGGTGAGCAAGTTCCCCTGTTTGCCTGTTAAAGAGATCAGGGGCCTGGTTGGGGCTCCCCTGGGTAGAGCTCAGCTCATGCTACTGCCTTCCCCTTAGCTCTTCACTGAGCACCAGCCAGGTGCCTGGAGGTTGAGCCATGTGCCCTTCCATCATCTCACCCCATGAAAAGGAGTTAGGAGCAGGAACTAGAGGGTGAGGTCACAGCCTGGCGAAATCTCCAGGGAGCAGAGTTTGGGCACAGTAGTCACTGAAGCTGAAGGGAAGGGCAAGTCCAGGGAAGGGTTATCAGTGAGCTAGGGAGAGAGGCAGGTGAGGGAAGACAAGTTGGCAGCTACATGGGTTACAGTGTTGGGGTGTCTGGCAGCTGTGATGGAGAAGAGAGGCCACTAGAGCACAAGCAGGTGGGGCTTCAAAATGAGGGGAAAGAGGATTGGGAGGCAACCCCCTGCCCTGCAGTCACTGCCTTAGAGACACTCTCCTACATGCTTCTTCACCCTCACACTCACCCCAGGCAATAGGCCTCCTGGCTCCTCCTGGGCTCTTCTTCAATCCCTGCAAGACCCTAGCCCCTCTAGCTGGCAAGACCTCTAGCTAACAGGAGGAGCAGTGGGGCATCAAAGCAATGACAATGACCCCTGCAGTGACAGAGAGCTTCCTGGGTTGAATGCAAAGAGAAGCAGACTCAGGATGGAGTCCTGGTGAAGAAAAGCCTGGGTAAGGTGTATCTGAAAAGTCCACGGAGTCTGGCTGCAAGGACCCCTGGGAGAATTTAGAAATGGTAGTATGGGGACGGGGCGCTTGCTCGCTGGAGGTGCTGAAGACAGTCTGGAGGAGAAAGGACTTTATCAGGAAGTGTGCTGTGAAAAGGAGGGAGGGGAAAGAAGTTAAGGGTTGTTTTTTTTTTTTTTTTTTTACTATTTCTAAGGTAGCACTTGACTCTAACCAAAAGGTTCCTTATGAGAAAGATGTGCTGGTCTGCTTCCATAAGATTACAGATTTCCAGAGCACTTCATTCTGACCCTTAGGGTTGCTGTGAGTTGGAATGGATTTAACCAACTGCAATGGGTTTATCTTCAATATGGACAAAACTTGTGTGCACAACTGAAGTCTGAGAGAAAAAGAGCCAACAGGGAGAGACTGAAGAAGAGGAGTGAGGACCCCAAGGGAGGGGAAGAGAGAGGACTGTGTCTCTGTACTTCTGAGACAACTGTTTTCTCAGTGAAGGGAGTCAGGGGCTGGGTTGTTGTTGCAAGGGGACAGAGGTGCGCAGCAGTGAACCTAATGGTGACTGAGGTCCCAGGGTGGTAATGACCCACCTAACAGTCGTCAGCCTGCCTCCCCTGTGAAGACTTGGACGATAAGTAAGGAGCCTGGAAAGGGCAGGGTGCAAATGGACGCAATGGTGCCGATTAACTGTAGCAAGGAGGAAGCCGGCAGGCCACAGTGTTTCTCCAGAATAATCTTTTAATACATTCATGCGGGTTATACAAAGAGCTGGTCCCAAGGCCCAGGATGGAGGCTGGGTCCCGGGAGGTGAGAGCAGCATTGTGTAGTGTAGTCCAAGATCAGGTGGGAAGGGGCCACCACCTTGTTCTCCAGGCCTGAGGAAGAGTGTGTGAGTGAGCAGCTGGAATTCCCTGGCAGGAGGGGCAGGGGCCATCTGGATGGATCTTCCGATCTATTTTTCAAGGGAATAGTACTCCTGTACTATTGTGGCACTGTGGGTTAATGTGCTGGACTGCAAAGTTGCTTTGAACGGCAGGGTCGGCGGTTCAAGCTCACTAGTTGCTCCTCAGATACCCTATACAGGGTCACTATGGGTCAGAAACAACTCAACAGCACTAACAACAACAACACTATGGAGCAAGCACTACTACAACCTTCAGTATGGATTACATCTGATTCTAAAAAAAGTGAAAATCCTTATAACTTGGCCAATAAACAATATCATGATAAATGTTGAAGAAATTGAAGCAGCATTCAAGAAATCAAACAACTCACTGCATTGGACAAATATACACTAAAAGACATCTTTAAAGTCTTAAAAAGCAAAGATGTCACTTTAATAACTAAGGTATGCCTAGCCCAAGCCATAATCTTTTTTTTTTTCCTGCCTCATATTTATTTGTACAAACAGCACAGGAGGACACCAGCTCTATACAGATGGTAGCCCAAAGGGTCATGCCTCTGTCCTCAGATGGAGAACTCTATTCCCTCTTTGTGGGGGCCTGGGCACCTTTGGGAGCCTGAGGTGAGGCCTTGGCTGGGGCTTGAGTTGAGGCTTTGGCTGGGGCTTTAGTTGAGGCCTTGGCTAGAGCTTTAGTTGAGGCCTTGACTGGAGCTTTAGTTGAGACCTTGGTTGAAGCTTCAGCCTTAGTTTTAGCACTGGCCTTGGACTTTGGCCGACAGAGCCTCAGACCCTTGGCAATGCGTGCCCAAGCACGCTTCCCCTGCTTGGGATGGGCAATGTAGGCCAGTTGACTGAGCCTGCAGTTGACACCCCTTGGGATCTTAGGCTTGATCTCCTTGGGCTTTATGAGAGCCTTGATAGCCTCGGCACGTGCATCCATGGCCTTGGCGTTGCTGGCCTGCATCTTCTTCAGGCCCTTCTTGTTGTGCTTCTTGGCAAAGTGCATGTTCCTCAGAAACTTGGGGTCCACCCCCTTGAGACACTCATTTATCATTGTGATCGGGGTTTCTTGATACCATTTCTGTGCCATTTTCGGGACTGGTTGTGCGTGGTGTGGTTCTTGGACTTGGCCATGTCTGCACCTGGAGGAGAGTGGAGGTGAGGGCTAGGCCCATTCTCTGCCTTGATCCAGATGGGAGTGAAGCCTGAATCTACAGCTGCACCCCACCCTACCCCCAACTCATGCTGCACGGCAGAAATGCCCCCAAGCCATAATCTTTTAAACCGCCTCATATGTATCCAGGAGACCCAGTGGGGCAAACCATTAAACACTTGACTGCTAACCAAAAGGCTGGCAGTTTGAAACCAGCAGTTCTATGGAAAATCTGCTTCTGCAAAGATGACAGCCAAGAACACCCTATGGTGCCATTTTACTCTGTCACACGGGGTCACAATGAGACGGAATAGACTCCACGGCACATAACAACAATATGTGCATATGGACTCTGGACAATGAAAAAGGAAGACCAAATCAGAATTAACACATTTGAATTGTGGTTTTGGCAAGGAACACTGAAGATACCCTAGACTGCTGGAAGAACAAATCAATCTGTCTTGGAGGAAGTGCAGTTAGAAGGATCCTTATCCTTGGCAAGACTTTGTCTTGCTTACTTTGGATGCATTATCAGGAGAGACCAGTCACTGGAGACGGACATAATTCTTGGTAAGTAGAGGGTCAGTAAGAGAGAGAGACTCAATGAAATGGATTAACAGGGTAGCCACAACCTAGCTTGTGAGGCTGATACGGGAACTGGCAACATTCCTTCTGTTATACGTAGCGTCCTTCTGAACCAGAGCAGACTCAGTGGCACCTCATAACACCAGCAATAACAATGACCTTATGAAGCGATAACTGAAGGAGAAGGAATCCACTCAGATCCCCCACCACCAATGCCACCCACCAGTCAAGTCTGAACCCACTTTTCACAAGCTCTGCCCATGACTTGTGGGGCAACTTTGAGCAAGTCCCATTCTCTTAAGCCTTGGTTTCCTTATCTGTGCAATGAGGAGGGTGGACTCAAGGTCTCAAACTTTAGGCTAAGACCAATGGAGAAGAGGAAAAGAAGAGGATAGGAGAGCAAGGAAAGAAAACCCAGACGAAGGTGCAAAAAAAGGGAAGGAGGGAAACTGAGGCAGAGAAGAAGCAGAGGGCCAGCAGCTGCCTGTCTTCACTCTGACTGCCTGAGAGAGAAGAAGGAGAGAGGCAGAGGGTAGGGGTGATATGAGCAGCACAGGATGCTCCCAGGCCCTGCTTGGGTGATGTGGGGCCCACTTCCTGTCCACCCACAACCTGAAGCCCCTATCTGTGCAGTGGGGACGCAAAGATTCTGTGGCACATCTTAGTTGTGGGATCCTGGACGGAGGCTTTGGAGCCTTGGTTTCCTCTTTTGTAAAATGGAATGATACCAACCTCAGGGCTGCCCTGTAGAGGCAGACAGGAGGAAGGCTTGAACGAGCATCTACAGTTGCCCAGCCTAGTGCAAACAGAGCCAGCTCCTGGTTCACCAGCCAGGATGGGGTGATGCAGAGGGGCACCTGGAGTCAGTGTGTACAACATGAGAGCACCCTAGAGAGTCTGTCCAGAACCGGAAGCAGAATGGACCAGTACTCAGCTGGAGTCCAGGCTGACAGCCTGTTAACCACACCCTGATGGAGCTACCACAGCCACAGTGCCTAATGGTACCCGATCCAGCAAATACTCATGTGACTCCAGTTCTCTCCTCTGGTCACAAGCTTTTCATTTTCCAGTGAGGCTGTAAGTCATTATGAGAAGATGTGACAAATAGTCTGCTTGGAAACGCCTCAGACAAATCCTCTTGGTGTTGCCCCTCTCTGGCCCTGGACCAGTTGGATCTGCAGAACTTTGGAGCTGCCTCATAGCCCTGGGCTTCCACACCTCATAGCCCCCGATCACACTGACAGTCTCCCCCACTGAACTGAGAAGTGCTTGAGGGCAGGGATGGGGTCTCATTCAACTGTGTTCTCAGTGTCCACAGCATAAAAAAGATGTTTTGTCAAAGATCTAATGATCTTATGGGCAAATGTCATTTTCTGCTATCTCTGAGACTCCCCAACTCTGAGCTTCCACAGCTGGACCATATTTGCAAACTGGGAAGTGGGCTGCCTGCCTCCCAGTGCAGCAGGATGCAGAGAAAGGAGCCCTGGGCTGGGATTTGGAGACCAGTGTTCTTGTCCCTTGCTCGCTGTGTGACGGTGAGTCAGTCCCCATTCTTCTCTGTGCCTCTGGCTCACCCACTGACCTTGGAAGGGCATCTTGGCTAGGCTGTTCTACAGTCTCCTGGCTTCTCTAGGCTTTGTACTGTTGGCTAAACTTCTGCCGGCGGAAGCAGCAACAGATGGCCAGCGTAGTGAGGAGGATCACAGAGACCACTAGGAAGGTGAGGATGATGATGAGGTTGACGTTCTTGAGCTCCCCTTTCTCACAGTCCTCAGGACGCACGTGGCTCAGGGACACCTCCTCCTGGGAGCCAAAGCGGCAGATCAAGTCCTGGGTGGCATCCACATCCACCCGGCCCTGGTGCAGCTGGGCTGCCAGCCAGCCATTGCCACAGCAGCTAAGTGGATTCCCTTGCAGGTAGAGGCGCCGGAGGCTGGTCTCCAAACCACCCATGGCACTGCCTGGCAGAAGGCTGAAGCTATTGTTCCTCAGGTCCAGCACCTCCAGAGACACAGCCTGTGTCCAGGCAGGCAGGTGGCTGAGGTGGTTCTCAGCGAGATTGAGCTGCTTGAGGCAGCTGAAGCAGGGCAGATTCACTTGCAGGATGGTCAGTCCATTGCCCTGAAGTTCCAGGACCTCTAAGGAGGCCTCCAGGCCTGCCAAGGCCCCCAGGGCCACATCCAGTCCAGGGTTGGCAGAGAGGTCTAGCTCTGTAAGTGGTGTGTGGAGGAAGGCACCTGCCCAGAGCTTTTCTATCTCATTATCCACCAGATTCAGGATGTGTAGGGAGGGTATTCCAGAGAAGGCAACACAGCCTGAGGGGGCAGGCTCCCCTGGACCCCCACAGGGGTTAACCTGGTTTCCCTGCAAGTTTAGTCTCTGCAGGCTGGCCAGGCTGGCAAAAGTGTATGGGGGCAGATTCCGTAGGGCATTGGCCTGCAGAAGCAGTGTCCGCAGAGCCCCCAGGGTTCTGGTGCCTAGCTCCAGTGCCTCCAGTGCATTGTGACTTAAGTCCAGGAGCACCAGGCAGGGCAGAGAGCCCACCTGCCGGGCCTCAAAGGCCCTCAAGCAGTTTCGACTGAGGTTCAGGAAGCGCAAGGAGCTCAGGGGCTCAAGAAAGCCCTCGGGGATGTGCTCAATCTCATTGTAGCTCAAATCCAGGTTCAGGAGCTGGGAAAGGGGGCAGGTGCTGGTGGTCCAGCTGGGGCTGGAGAGGGGCAGAGCTGACCAGCCCTCAGAAGGGGCACGCACACCCTCACGGCCTCGGGACTGTCCCGTGGGGAGCTGGTGGAGGTTGTTGTTGGACACATTCAGGTAAGTAAGTCGGGGAAGTACAGCCAGGTTGGGGAAATGGAGCAGTTTGTTCTCCCGAAGGTCCAGCCAAGTGAGCTGGTACTCACCCTGCGGATCTGGGGATGTCTGGAAGGCCTCAATGCTGTTGCAGCTCAGGTCAAGCACCCGCAGCTGCTGGAGGCTGAAGTCAGAGATGCAGGTGAGGGAATTCCTAGAGAGATTCAGGTGTGTCAGGCGGGGCAGGGCCTCGAACGCACCCTCCTCAATGTCCATCAGCACGTTGCTATGTAGGTCCAGATGCTCGAGCGCAGGCATGCCCCAGAAGGTATGGTGGGCCAGGCGTGTCAGGCTGTTTTCAGCTAGGGAGAGGGTGCGCAGGGCAGGCGCTTCCCCCAGTAACCGCTCCACTAGGCCACTGTATAGGCTGTTTCCGGACAGGTCCAAGGAGGTCACGTGAGGCAGAGGGCCCAACGCTGTGCCCACCACAAGGCGGTTGTGGGCCAGGTTGAGATGCTCCAGGTGGGGCAGGGCCTGGAAGACACCTGGCTGCAGGAAGCTGATCTCGTTGGCGCTCAGGTCCAGGCGGCGAAGTGCTGTGTAGAAGCCCAAGGGTGAAGCCATGACGCCTCGCAGCTGATTTCCAGACAGGTTGAGGACCTGAATGTCCAGCGGAAGCAATGATGGGACCTGGCTCAGGCCAAAACCCTGGCATGACACTTCCTTATCCACCTGGAAAGAGGGAGAAGAGAGGGAGAAAAAAGCCGACATGAGAGGTGTACTTGATTCCTTCCAGCAACCACCCCCAAATTTGGTTAGGCTTGTCCTTTGGGCTCCCAGAATTCTCCACTTCCCTCCACTTCAGCCTAATCATACCCCATCTAGTACCCAGCATAGTGCTGGGCATAAGGTAGGAACTCAATGAAGGTTTGATGGGTAGACAGAGATATCAGGACAAATAAACAAACAAAAAACTCTGTTGTGATTATAACCACATTTTACAGGAAATCAAGGTTTAGAGGGTGGATCCATCTATCACCCAGAATGACCCAGAGCCAGTAAGCCACAGGGCCATGCTGGGGCCAGACGTCCTGATTCCATGCCCTGGGTTCCATCTGTAGGCACACACACTTACTGTTTCCAGCTGGTGCTACACTGGAAATGACTTTGGGAAGAGAGGTGTAGAGGAGGGGAATGAGAGCTCAGGGATGATATCTAAAGTGCAGTCCCCACCCCAATTCCAAGTTGAATAGCCATCGATAGCTAGACAACACAGCAGAGATGCCGTTCCCCCTTTTTCAGCTGCCTCAGTCAGGCGCCTTTCGTATTTGTGGCACCTTGGAATGTCATTCCATGTCTCATCTGATGCTCCCCCAGGAGGCCTCTGTTTGGGAAGTAGGGAAAAATGTTTTCAAAAGGGAAAAAAGGCTGTTTTCAGGTCTGCGATCAGATTTTATTTAGACCTCCCACCCCTAGGTCTTATTCAAGCCCTCATTCCATGGGGCAGAGCGCCCAGCTCCGTCCTCGCCAACCCTCCCCAGATGTGACCTCCTTTCTGTTGCTGCTACCGCCCCCACTCCTGTCAGCTGCCTCACTTCCCATGGCCCGGTCCAGCATCAGTCCCTGGTGGTGGACGGACACGGAGGGGACAGAGGAAATGATGACCAGGGCCCCAGGCCACATTCCTTAGTGACAGACTGATTGTGCCATGTGACCACCATTGAGTCACATTAAACCAGTTGCTATCGAGTCCATTTGACTCATGGCAACCCCATATGTGACAGAGTAGAACTGTCCCATCAGGTTTCAATGCTGATTTCTCAGAAGCAGGTCACCAGGCCTTTCTTCTGCGGTATCTGCGGAACCTCCAACTCTTTGGTTAGCAGCCCAGTGTGTTAGCCATTTGTACTATTCAGGACTCACACCCAAGTCGCATTAGCACCCACTCATCCAGGGACTAACTCTCCTTCCCCAGTACCACTTTATATTCTAGTTAGCACTTTCTGGTCTGTGTTCTCATTGGACCTTCACAACTGCTTACCCTTTAGATCTGATGCCCCTTTACTTATAGATACTCAAATTCAGAGAAGGGAAGGGAGGTTCCAAGATCACCTCGCTGGTGAGGGGCAGAGCAGGGATTTGAAGCCCAGCCTCTTAATAACCAAAGGCCATGCTCTTGTCTCTCTATTGTGTGTGCCTCATAGAGCCAGAATTCAAGTGCAAATGCAGCGCTACCTTTTGTTTCTTGTAGGCCCCCAGGAAAACCAGCCTTTCACAGGCAAGGGTCTAATCCCTGCAGCCACCTCATCTCAGATGCTTTCCTGTTCCTGGCCTCTCTTCCTCCATCAGACCCTCGTCCACCAGGGAGCTTCCCTGATTGTCAGGCAGGTCAGGGCCTCCTCTGGACGCTCACAGTTCCTGTGCTTCCTCTCTCATAGTTTCATCCTCCCAAATTATGACAGTTTACTTGGGGATCTGCTAGACAGTGAACTGTTTATACAATGTCCTGGCCCTGGCACACAGGAGATGCTCAATACTTTTGTTTTTCATGAATGGAAGAGTCACAGATGTGAGGGTTTGTTGTCGTTGTTGTTAAGTGCCACTGAGTCCTTTCTGACTCATAGCGACCCTGTGTAGGGTTTACAAGGAACGAATGGTGACTTTGAACCGAAGACCTTGTGGTTCAAATTGACCTTGCAGTCCAGTGCTTTATCCGACAGCGCCACACCGGGAAGCACTAAATCAAACACCTCTCTCAGATGATCCATATATTCAGACCAGAGACCAAGATTGTTAGACTCAGATGGGACGACAGAGGCTTGAAAATGGTAGTGACTTGCCTCAGGACATAATGAGTCAATGGCTGAGCTGACAGAACTCGCTGTCTGGCTCCAGCTCTTGATTCCTACAGAGAGACCCAAGGTGAGTAAGGTAAGGGAGGGGACTTCCTATCGTCAGGCATCTGTGTGGCTCTTCCTACTCCACCTAGCACAGGAAGTGGCCCTACCACCTCCAGGGGACATGGTGTCATAGAAACTGCAGCTGGGCCTCGTGCAAACTGGAAACCCATCCAAGCTGCCTTGCCTATCCTGCCTGACTCCGAGCCCCTTCCTCCCTCACAACCTCTCTATCTTCTGGGGGCAGTGAGTCCTACCCTCATTTCTCTGGATGAGGCTGGCTTAAAGAAGAAACAACAAAATGAATAAAATAGTAATTATTATTGTAGAAAACCAGCTTCATATCAAGCTTTGAGCTGAGTGCTCTGTTGTTGTTAAGTGTTGTTAAGTTGAGTCAGGTTAACTCATAGCAACCCTTATAGGGTTTCTGAGGAGTGGTTGGTGGGTTTGAACCACCAACCTTGAAGTTCACACTGATCTTATGGCTGAGTGCCTATCCTACATCATCACATCAGGACTCCATGGGGTTTCTGTGGGGCAACTGGTGGGTTTGAACCACCAATCTTGCAGTTAGTAGTCCAGTACTTACCAGGACTCCTTAACCTCCTTTAATCCTGACCAGTATGATAAAGCTGAACTACTAAACACAAGGTTGGCAGTTCAAACCCACCAGCCACTCCACAAGAAAGATGAGGCTTTCTGCTTCAGTAAAGATTTATAGCTATGAATCAGAACCTCCTAGATGGTATCTAACAACAATTTACCCAACTGAAAGAAACCGAGGCTCAGGGAGCAGGCTGCCAAAGATGAGACAGATAGGAACTCAAAGCCATCATTGGTGAGTTTCTTTTGCTAATGGTGCAAGCTGAGTTCTGGCCAGTAGACTCCCATCTGGGCAGTACCCAATTTGTTTCCTGTGCAGAGCGAATAGCAGCAGCCACACTGGCTGGTCATTTACTCTGTGCTGAGGGGCGTACTGCACTGTTTCACAAGTGACCCACAGCCTCAAATTACCTCTGTATATGCAAAGGCTCCTTGGAGCATCGGCCTCTGAGAGTTGGGCCAGGATGCAAAGTTGGCCAAGCCCAGAGCCTCTAAGACTTGCTTTCCACCCGGGCTGCCAGGATCCTGCTTTTGAGGTCCAGACAGGGCTGCACTAGGCTCCCCCGCCATCCAGTCCAGGAAGGAGCTTGAGGCCAGGGCAGCTCTCAAAAATCCATTTCCAGGGATGCCCACCACCCTGCCTGAGTTCTAAGACCCAGTTCTGACTGATGGACAATGGAGAGGCTTTTGTGGACAGTCCTTGGCTGGAGGTCTGAGCCTCCCCCTGACAACTACCACTACTGACTCTGTGATTTCAGGGAGTCACCACTGGCTCTCCTTTGAGTAGGGAGGAGGACTTGTCCTCCAATTCTGTTCTACCACCTCCCCATAGAAGGGGAACAGGGCCATGGACAGCCCAAGTTTCGGGGAATTGTGTTCAAATCCTGGTTCTGCCACTTTCTACCCTCATGACACGGCTTCCTCAACTGCAAAGAGGAGTTCTGAGGAGGATAAAATAATGAAAAGGCCCCTCGTGCAGTGTAGGCACCTTGCACGACTTCAGCAAGTGTAGTGGTTACGAGTCAGGCTGCTAACCTCAAGGTCAGTAGTTCGAAACTACCAGCTGTTCCATGGGAGAAAGATGACGCTTTCTGCTCCCATAAAGATTTATAGCCTTGGAAACCCTGTACAGGGTCGCTATGAATCACAAGCAATTCCAGAGCACACCACCACCACCATTTGGAAAATCATTGTAACTTCTACATGTACTGATCTTTCCTATATTTGCCCAGAATCCAAAGCTTGTCCCACTTCTCTGTTGTCTGGCTGGGTGGCCAGGGCACTTCAACTCTCTGAGCCTCAAACTCCCAGAGTAGAATGTGGGGTTGCATCTCTGCCTGTGATTCTGGGTCTGGAACTCTTAAAGGGACTATGAGTAGCGGGACATTACAAATCTTAGGGGTAGACTGCTGCCAACACTTCTAGCCCCTTGGAACAGCTGTCCATCCTTTGAGTGGCCTTTGAGTCACGTCTTTAAGGGGCTGCAGAGGGCCTGTGCATTCCCTCAGCCCGGGCTCCAGCCTCGCCTCAGTGACTGTCCAAGTACTAGGCCCCTGTTCCCTGTACTCTGCAGCGTCCCTAATTCAGGGGCTAAACTCCCTAATCTGGAGCAGAAAAAAGGAATAGAATTGAATCAAACCTGGTTCCTGACCTCAAGAAGTTCTCAGTCTGGCAGATGAGAGAGTCATGGATGCAATCACCAACTACCCGAGGTGCTCAGTATACTTCAGTACTGAGATGGAGGAAAACCAAGGAACTGTGGAAGCCCAGCAGAGGGAGCAGACAGTCAGGTCAGCCTGGGAGGAGTCAGGGAAGGCTGCCTGAAGGAGGCCGCCTTTGACCTGGGCAGGAATAAATGAGAGGCTAAGGAGCTCTGGTAGCGTAGTGGTTAAGAATCAGGCTGTGAACCTCACGGTCAGCAGTTCGAAACTACCGACTCTATGGCACATCAGAACAACAACAACAACAAGTGACAGGTAACTTAACTCCAGTTGAGAAAAGGGACCTTCTCAGCTGTCCCAGCTCAAATTCCCCACACTTATGCACATTCTGCATTGCCAGACTGGGCCCATTGCCCTCTGAGGGTAGGTTGAGTGAACAGAGTCTAATATCAGCCCCACTGTTTCTAGAAGAATGACCTTGTTCAAGTCATCCAACCTCTCCAAAGCTGTTTCCTCCTTTATAAGATAAGCATAGTGGTACTTTCCTGGAAGAATTACTAGGTAAATTGTTGTTGTTGTTGTTGTTGTTATGTGCCGTGGAGTCGGTTCCGACTCATAGCGACCCTGTACAGGGTTTCGAGTTTCCAAGGCTGTAAATCTTTACGGGAGCAGAAAGCCTCATCTTTCTCCCATGGAACAGCTGGTAGTTTCAAACTGCTGACCTTGCAGTTCGCAGCCTAATTCGTAACCACTATGCTACCAGAGCTCCTTACTAGATAAATAAGATATTTAAATATTCTAGTAGGTGCTCATGAAATTCAAGATACCTTCCATTCTTTTGACTCCTCTTTTGATGGCTGGGGCTGGAGTAAGGATTCTGAGGCTGTAAGATACCTAGGGTGGGCAGGAGAAAGGCCTAAGCCTGCCTGGACAGGGCTTCTTACCGTCTTACAGGGCACCATCTCACGGCGTTGGGAGGTAGCCAAGCTCAGGGTCATCATGGCCAACAGCAGCAGGATCTGGCGGCTCATGGCTCTGTATAGGGAAGGGTGGGAAGGGAAACACCGTAAGACTCCTGGTTCCCTCTTACTGCCAGCCCTATAGCTGCCTGCTTCCAGGGATCCCCACAGAACCCAATTCCCAGCAGCAGGAATCAAGGGATCTATGGCTGGGGCAGAAATGGGGTAGGAAATGGCATGGCAGCTGGTCACAAAGGGCCCTAAATGCCAGGTCAAGGAGCTGAGGCCTTACCCTGGGGCAACAAGAGTTTTAAGCAGTGAATGACTTCCTTCTAGAGGGAGACAGCTTGGAGGGTGGTGTGACTCTGAGGGATGCCCTGGGCCAAGCTCAGAGCTGGGGGAGGGATGGGAGGAAGCTGGGCCTCTTCACTCCATTTCCACCTAGGCCACAAGTAGGCCCCCTCTCCAAGCTTCTGGAGCCCCTAAAGAATTCCTCACTCTCCCCCAGGGGACTTTTATTTTGCTCCTTTTCTTTTGATTCTCAGATTCTCTAACCCTAGCTATTGTTTGAGGGCTAGGCTGGGGGCCTTGACAGGAAGCGTGGTCTGCCAGGAGACCTACCCTGCCCCCAGCACTGGACTTCCCTAGCAGCCTGCAGCCTGCCCTGCACTTTCACTGAAGTAGCCACCAGCACAGGGAGGCACAAGTTTGCTTGGCTACCAGGGGTGGCAGGTGGATCTCAGAGACTCTCAGCAGGGTCAAATCCCTGTGCTGCTGGATGCCACTCATTTCCTCGCCTGAAGACCTGAGCTAAGTGCTAGGGATACACAGATGAATCCGTTAACTTCATTTGTTGATTCACCCACACCTTTACTGATTGCCTCTTCATGTGCTGGGAGCTGGGGACCACGGGAAATACGCTGTATGCACAGTGTTAACAAGGAAAGTCACATCAAGCTGTCCAGGAGCACTGGATTGTCACCCATACCTGACTGTCCCATCTGTCTCCTATACTGACCTGCTCTGTGACCAATCCCTTCCCTTCTCCAAGCCTCAGTTTTAACCTGAGGTGCAGGCCAATCTCACCAGTTTCACTGACGATCCAATGAGATGTGTTTCATGAAAGTGCCCCTCACTCACAGAGCCCTTACTAGGCCCCAGGTGCGCTTCTCCACACTTTACACTTCATCCTCACAAGAACACAACAATTTGGTTCTATTATTTTCAAGCCCATTGTACAGGTGAGATTTACAAAGGATCAGTGAGAGATGAAGTAACGTACTTAAAAGGTCACACAGCTAGCAAGCAGTCTGTGACCTAAACCTCAATAGGATATGGAGTTTCTCAGCAGGTGTTTGTGAAAATGGGTGCTGAATTGTGACTCTGTAGAGCCAGAAAAGAGTGAATGTGAAGGATGCTTATGAAGGAACATTTAAGGGCCTCCAAGGAGCTCTGGTAGCGTAGTGGTTACGAATCGGGCTGCGAACCTTAAGGTCAGCGGTTCGAAACTACCAGCTGCACCGCGGGAGAAAGATGA